ATGTGATGCTGAGGATAGAACCCAGGCCCCGCCCATGCTAGGCGAGGGCTCTACCGATGAGCCACAATCCCAGCCCGACATCTGATCTCTTAATGGACTATAAATGGCTTCCGATAATCCAGACCTGGCCAAACAATGAAGACTGTAAGGAGAGGCATGGAGATAGGGTTCTGGGCCTGTCCCGATGGAACTCGAAACTCACTTCATCTCAGGATCCCGTGGTCAGGGGACCAATATGGCCTACTTCCTAGGGTCCCCATGTCCTGTGTCTTCTGTTTGCTGAGTGGCATCATGTCATCACTCACTGCACGCCCTGGTCTCTGACCTTGGTCATGGGCAAACAGGAGTCATTGGGCTACAGCCTAACCGCAGGTGGAAAGGGGTTCCGCGGGAGGGGTACAGCCCTTTTCTGACCCCCCCAGCCCAGTTGAAAAACAAGGCAGTGGTCAGAATTTGGGGGTGTCAGGTGTGGTCCTCACACATGGGCAAGTTCTTGGCAGGCTCATCAGGATGGGAAGGGACTGGCATTTTCTTTGGGCCTCATCTGAGCGATGTTTCTCTATCAATTCCCCCTGTTCCACAGCCCAGCTCTCATGGAGGGTCCAGGACCCAGGGACCTCCACCCTGGAGGCTCAGGCTGAGGCCTCCCTAAGCCCATGCTTCCCTCTGAGCTTCTCTTTGGGGTCTGATCTCATGTGTCCCCTTCCACCCAGGGACCCTGAGCCCTGAGTCTGAGCCCGCCAGCCCTTGTTTCCTCCGTCCAAGCTCTGCCCCCATGGTGGATCACCTCAGTGTTTCTCCTTGAACCCCACTGTGTGTGCCCACTTGCCTGGACAGTGGTCATGCATCATCAGAGCTCTCAGGACATCCCAGGACACACAATTGCTGTTGGTGCTCTACTGAGCTCATCATATCCAGCCCCAGCCGGCTCCTCCAGCACACTAATTCCCCATGCCCTTAGAGAAACCCCCAGGGGCAAGGAAACACCCCAGGCTCCACCTTCTCTCTCCCAGCCATGCCCCCATGCTGGGCAAATCGACTCCTGACCTTCTGACTCCCTTTCATTCCTGGACAACCAGCCTCAGCCCTCCTGGTCTCCCACATCTTGGTGTCTCTCCCTGCAAGTTCCTCTACCTGCCACCAGGGAGCGCCATGCAGAGCTCAAACCTGGTGCCACCCTGGGCTCCCTCACCTCTCTGCTCTCCACAACCACAAGGGAAATGCCTGCTCTGGCCCACTTCCAGCCTGCTCCGGCTGGCCATTTCCATTGTCCCCTTGTACCCTGGAAGGTCATTCACTTTCTTCTGTTTGGTCAAGTCTCACTTATCCTACCAGTCTCCACCCAGGCTCCTTCCCCTCCTGGGTACCTTCCCAGCCAGGAAAGGGCTCCCATCTCAGGTTCCTTGGGACCCCACACAAGGCTCCATCTTAGCCTGTGTCATTGGGGAGGACCTTGGGTTTCCCAGGAAGAAGAGGCCTCAATGAAGTGGTGCATTGCTGGGACCCCAAGTGCATTCCAGAGGGCCTTGTCCCTTCCAGTCCCTCACTCAACCAAAGCTGTGGGTCAAGGTTGTGCTGTGTGCTAGGCTCTGTGCCCCGGCACAGTCACCTCCTGGTTTGGGGTGTCCACTTTCAG